GACACCTTTGTTATCACAATCTTTTTAGAATATAGAGATTTCATAGGGTTTACTTCTTTGATTTATTGGTATATGAAATTTTATTAAATTACTCGTTGGAAAATAATAAATGATGCCATGTACCACAAAAATAAATTTAGGCTCTATTAGTATAATTTTTAATGAGGTTAGATATTACAAACGACACTAAATATGCTAAATTTAAGTACAAATAACATTTATCGGAAAACTTTCATTTTTTTGTAGGGGCTAACCCACAATTTCAAAATATAATAGAAAATATGATTTTTTTATTTATACATAGCTGCATCCAACACTGATATATGATGAATATTAAATAATTTTGGTACCTTAGTTGTCCAAATTTCTCTAGAAAATAGAGATTTTATAAGGTTTAGTTCATTGATTTTGGTGGAATATGGAGTTTTCTTAAATTCCTCGGTTGATAATTAAGACTGATACTCATGTACCATGAACATAACTTTAGTACATAAATATAAATTTTGAATGTGGTTAGGTATTTTTAAACAAAACTAAAGAGACCTACATATAACATTTATCGGAAAATTCAATTTTTTAGTAAGAGTTAACCCACATATTTTAAGATAAATTAGAAAATATCATATTTTTGTTTTAAGAATTTTTTGCATCATGAACTGACATAGTATGAAGAATAAAGAAGGTTGAGACCTTAGGTATTCCCGTTTTTCTAGAAAATAGATAGGAGTTAGTCCTCTTATTAGGTGGTATATAAATTTTCAAATAAATTACTCATTGGAAAATTAGAAATAATGCCATGTACCATAAAAATAAGTTTGGCATACATATATATAAATTTGGAGTGTGGTTAGGTATTTTAAAACAAAACTAAAGAGGCTAAATGAATATATACACATGTAATCTACATTGTATATATAATACAAGAGTTTCGTTGAAAAAAAATAAATAACTATTTTAGAAATATATAAGTTATATTGTATGATATATTATTTTTATAAAATGAATTTCGTGCGACATTGCATGGTTTCTTACCTAGTTTATTTAATAAACAATGAAATTTAAAGAAGAAAAAATGATGACCTCAGCCCAAATATCCCATCAAGGCTTTTTATATACCACTATAAGAAAATTTAATATTATTTAATTTGCTTAAACTATGGATCAGTTAATTAAGGCATTTTAATGACTTGATCTTTAATGACGTGGTAACGTCCGATTGTTAAATTTTTTAACTTTTAAAAAAAAAATTAAACCGTAAGACTTAAAGCCTAACCGCTAAACCCCATAACTCTAAACTTTAAGTCTAAATTAGTTAAACTAAAGAGTATAAATGTGTTTTATACTCTTTAATAAAATCTATTTTAATCATTTTTTCTTTATAGGCTATATTTGTGACAAAAATATTTTTTAGGTTTTTCTTATTCATTTTCTCTAAAAAAATTTAATTTTACATATTTAAAAATTTAATATTTTTTTCTCATAAGAACTCCATAATGGATAACATCATTGGAGGAACATTTGTGATTAGAGATTATAGCTATTAAAAACAATCTTCTATATTAAAATAGAATTATTTTATCTACTACACAAAAGTCATTTTAGACAATTTCATTAATATGACATATTTGATTATTTATATTAATATATCAAATATATATTACTGGAGAAATACTTTATTGCTTAATAAGATATTAGTAATAAATCAATTTGACTATAAATTTCTATTTTAATTTCATTTATAACAAAATCTGTTGAGAAAATATCTAACAGGATCTTACCAAAAAGTATAAATATTTTTATAAAATATATATTATTTATTGTCGTGATTAATACATATATATATATAGTAATGTTAATTAAAAAGAAAAATTGGTATATTTTATAATTTAATGATATTCTATATTATATTAAAATAAAAATGCTATGTGAAATGAATAAAAATATATTAAATTGGTAAAGAAAAATATTTTATTTAAAATTTTCTTTTATTTACTGTTAAAAGATATATATATTTTTTTAAATCATGTAATATTTTTATACAAAAAATGTGAACATATATTTTTGTAACTCACAACAAATACATTATCTTAAAAAATATATATGTTTTTTATAAAAACTTTACAGCAATATATTATATAAAAATAATTAAAATAATAAGATTATATAGTTATACAATATATAACAATAAAATGTAAATCATTTATTTGAAAGATTTTGTTATATTTTTATAAGATGAAAAAATTATCCACACGGATGTGCGGGTTCAAAATCTAGTTATTATATTGTTAAGGACTCCAATGGTGGATAATATCATTGGAAATGCTCTAAGAATCTTACGTTTAAGTTATACATGTTGGATTTAGTGTTTTTTTTTGGTAAAAAAAGAAGAAGATAATTTCACCTTTTTGTCTAGGAACCCAAACATTGTACTTTCTTTTCTCTTACGAATTGAATTCAAGTTGCGAAAATTACAGCTGCAACTCTTATATTACTAGGTCAACTCGATGCTGGTTGGTGGATTTAGTGTTATTTACGTGTTTACAATTTTAGAAAAAAAAACTGAGTAATTGATCAATTGGGTTCCATGACACGACTAGACCACGCCTTATTTCAAATTTTTTGGGCAAAATAATTTGAAGAAAACATACGAGAATTCGCCGTACATTATTTGTATCTAGAGATGTATTACTCCGTCGCGATTTGTGACCGCAGATTTTCAACAATGCCTCCCTAATTGATTGATTAGCTTTTCATAATTACGTGAATAACATTAATCACATAAACGAGTAACAGTCTGCTATTGGTCTACAAAATTAGCTGTCTCATCTGCCAAACAATTATATAAATCATCTTTCATTTGTCCCAATTTAATCTAAAGCATCACATGTGGTTTCTACTTTGATACTTTCCACCATTCCAAAAGTTCTTACAATTTTTATGATCCACAAATAATATTTAACATTTCTTTTCAAAAAAAAATAATCCACAAATAATATTTAGCATTTCTTTACAATTTTTTAATCCCAAAAAATAATAGTTTCCGTTTTTTTTTCAACATTTGTTGTGCACCCCACGCTGCATCCATCCCCAAAATCTACTTTTGAAGAAATGGGGGTTTGTTATCTTTATTGCATAATATGGGAACATTGTTTAATGTCTTTTCTACAGCTTACTTGTGGGTAAAGGATTTTGATGGTTCTTCTAAAAGGAAAATAAATCAAAACAACAAATCCTCTTTAACGAACGAAGATAATCTACTAAATAGTTCCATACAATGAATAAAGCTGCACTCTGATTAGTCCTCTCTGACCACTTTGAGCCATTCAAAAATATTTGGACGAAATAAAAGAAAAAAAAATCACAAAATTCTTTTTCATTAAGCTTGCAACTTTATAATGCAACTTATATTCTTCGTATATAAAAATTAGTTAAAAGTAGAGTGGGTGGATTCGTTGAGATGATGACACGTCATCTTATCATCTTTTTCCCGAGCTAACATTGGGTCATTAACTCATAACATATACTATTAGACTTTTGAGTTTAGAATCTCGGAAGAAAATTAGTACTCCCTCCGTTTCGAATTATATGTCATTCTAGAGGAAAAAATTCGTTTCAAAATAAGTGTCGTTTTAGAGTTTTGAGACAAAATTTATTATGATTATATGATATTCTATTTTTCTATTGGTTGAAAAGTGGTTAGGTGTATTGGTAATTGTGTTTTTATATTGAAAATATGTAAAATTAAATGTTTCATTAATCTGTGTGTAAAAACCTAAAATGACAAATAATCTGAAACGGAAGGAATAATTACTATATAAAATAAAGAAGGAATCATTGATAAATGTAATCAATAAAGTCGGTGAGTATGATGCAAAGTATTGTCCTTTTCGATGCCAAAATTTGTTATCCCATGGCATGATTCCATTCCTGTTAGTTATATATTCCATCCGTTTCAGAATATAAGTCATTTTAGACTTATTTTTTTGTCGCGAATTAAATATCGTTTTAAAGTTTCAAGGTAAAATTTCTTAATTTTATATAATATTCTATTTTTCTATTGATTTAAAATTGGTTAGGTGTATAGGTAACTGTGTTTTTATCTTAGAAATATGTAAAATTAAATATTTACTTAATCTGTGTGCAAAAACCTAAAATGACAAATAAAATGAAACGGATGGAGTATTATTTTCCTCGTTATCAAGAATATACGTTTCTTTTCTCCCATGAAAAAAATTTATCAGGAGAAAGCATTTAGAAAGAATCCATTGTTGTGTTAGAATAGAAATATACACATATGTTCGTTTATGCATCCATGTAGACGGTGTTCGTTATATCACACTTCAAATTAAATTCGGATGTTGAGGTATAGAAAACTAGATTATATACAAAAAAAAAACTGTAGAGTTTGAATGCAATAACGAACCTGACTGACAACATCTAGACACTGATTTCTTAAAAATTGAATTCATCGTCGCTTACCATTCGTACATACGTAAAGACAAACCGGCCATAGTTCAATAATGCAATGACATTACAAATCATCATTCAGCGATAAATCACCGGGAACACCGAACACCCACATTCTATGTCTATAAAACGTACCAACCTCGCGGCCCATCTTGTTCCCAAACCTCTCTAGAAAAAAAGGAAAATTAAAAAAAAAATATAATATAAAAATAGTTTGCAAAAAGTTCTATAAATATAACTGAAGGTGAGAATAAATCTATATATAAGGTACAAGGGTGAAGTGTTTGTGTCTATATATGTTGGATGATTAGTTCTCTGCCATGTGCTTTGGACTCAACCTCTTATGCTTTATGTTCTGTTAGCTCCTACCTTATATCATAACTTTCATTATTCATCAATAATTCAAATTCCTTCATAACCATTTTATATTTTAGTCTCATATAAATACTCCCTCTCCCTACTCATCCTTCATAACATCCTTCTCTCTCTCTCTTCTTCGTTTAGTGTTTAATCTATAACCACTGATTCTAAAAATGGGAGAAGAAGTTAAACCAGTAAGATTTAAAGTTCACAATATTTCAATTTGCAACAAAAATACATATTTCTTATTAAATGGTGATTGATTTTTTTCATTATTAGGAGGTAAAGGAGGCTGCCCCTGCTCCAGAGGCAGTTCCAGAGCCCGGCTCCTCGAAAGAGGAGAAGAAGAAAGATGTGGCAGAGGAGAATCAAGAAGCTACCGAGGAGGAGAAACCAACGGTGGAGGAGGAGGAGACGCAGCCGCCACCACCGCCTCCACCATTCATACTCTACGTCGACTTGCATTGTGTAGGATGTGCTAAGAAGATCGAAAGATCTATACTAAGAATTAGAGGTATAAACATATAATAAAACCTCTATTTTTACATTATTAAAGTCAGAATTCATTCTCAAAATCCCAACTACCATATAAAATGATTGGACACTAGACACAAATATTCTTTAAAGCACCTAAATATTATTATATAAACTCCATAGTGATATCAACAATTACTTTAGTTATTACTGAATATGAAAAATGTATAGGAGTGGAAGAAGTGGTGATGGACATGAATGAGAACCAAGTGACGATAAAAGGAGTGTTGGATCCACAAGCAGTGTGCAACAAAATCAAGAAGAAGACTAAAAGAATGGCCAAAGTCCTCTCGCCGCTTCCGGCTGCCGAAGGGGAGCCTCTGCCACCGACCATAAACTCTCAAGTGTCTGGCCTCACCACCGTCGAGCTCAACGTCAACATGCATTGTCAAGCTTGTGCTGATCAGCTCAAGAAGAAGATTCTCAAAATGAGAGGTATTCATATAACTATACTAGATCTAGTCAAAACCAAAATACTCAAATTTTAGTGTACAAAATTTTAAATTCTGTCACTATATAATGGGTACGTACTAAAAATAATACTATAGGTTATACTGTCGTGAGTCACAAGCATAAACGCATTTGACTGGATATATATCGGATTAAAATACCCTTGTTTTAACGTTTTTACAGCCTTTTTGTTTTATTTATTATTTAGGCCTGGTGGCACGGTTCATTTTTATACTTTGATTCATTTAGACTGACTAAAAAAGATTACAATATTGTTGTTTAGGGGTCCAAACAACTGTGACAGAGTACACGACGGGAAAAGTAATAGTGACCGGGACAATGGACGAAGAGAAACTTGTGGCTTACGTCTACCGTCACACCAAAAAGCAGGCCAGAATCGTACCCCAACCCGACCCGGAACCTGATGAAAAACCTGCCGCGGAGGAAGACAAGAAGGAGGAGAGCGGTGAAGGGCTTGAGAAACCCGCAGAAACAGGAGAGGAGAAGGAGGAGGAGGAGGAGGAAGAAGACGGTGGCGGAGAAGAGACGGAGGTTACTGAGGAGATGGCTATGACGGAAGATGAAGGGATGAAGAGGATGATGTATTATTATCAGCCTTTATACGTTATCGAAAGGGTTCCTCCGCCGCAGCTTTTCAGCGACGAGAACCCTAACGCTTGTTGCATTTCTTAATTTGGTTTCGTGTGCTCTAAGGAAAATATAAATATGTTAGGGCAATTAATTACGTAAGAAAATAGGTATAGGTGTAAAAAAAAACAAAAACAAAAAATGGTGTAAACTTTATATTATATTTGATGGTTTGGTATATTTATTTATATTGATGGATATGTTAGAACATGATTAATGAATGTTTCTAAAATGAGTTTTTTAACGGAATTTAATAAACTGTTTGTTAATTTTTAACTAAAAAACTAATAACCGATTCTTATATTCCGTTAAAAATTCCATCATAAAAATCTCCATTAATCATATTCTTACACTTTGTATATCCGTATGCTCTTACACTTTGGCATATTTATTTATATCGATAAATACGTTAGAACATGATTAATGGAAGTTTCTATGATGAGATTTTTAAGGAATATAAGAAATTGTATGTTAACTTTAATTTAACTAAAAAAACTAATAACTGGTTCTTATATTCTGTTAAAAATCCCACCATAAGAATTTTCATTAATCATGCTCTTACACTTTGGTATATACGTATGCTCTTACACTTTGGTATATACGTAATCGAACTGAAAAAAATGATTGATACGGAATCTATTTATATTCATGAAAGTATACGTAGATGTGTGTGTCTTGAATAGAGATGCTTTACTTTTTTATTTTTGTATTCGTAGGGAAATTTTAATTTCCTGAGAATTTTTCGAGAGACAAGATAATCTAGTAGGAACTAGAGATCCTTGTGGGTCGCACATGGTGTGCTCTCTTTTTCTCCTTTGGCGTCAATCTCCATTTCTCGGACGTGGCTGCTTTTCCAGCCTATCTTGTCTATTCTTCTCAACCTCAAATTTTTAAAGGATAGTTTTCTTTCAATACATAAAGTTTGATTGGTAACTCTCATCGTATTGTCAAAAGATGTATGGTTCGAATAGTTGAGATGAATAGATAGGTGGCTGACGAATAGTGATATTGATTCTTTGTTTGGTAAAAATACATTTGATTTGGTTGACGCAGATCACGGGAACAGCACGCTTCGGATGAAGCTGGGCCGTGGATCACATAGCCCACGGTTCAGCAGAAAAGAAACAGAGAGCATGACAAAGTCCTCTTCAACTTTTGGGCTAGAGACAAAAGCGAGTGATTCCTAGGCATTACCCTCTTGTATTAAGCTAAGAACTTTAATCAAAAGACATTAATGAATGATACAAAGAACAGTGGCATCGAGATGTACTTAATATTGTAATTTTGAGAATATCATACTATCATTCTCGTGGCATTAACGCATAAAAAATCTCAATAAACTGTTTGTCATTCAATGCATGGGAGATGTATTATTAATATGATTAATTTTAGGAGCATATTAAATGTGTTACAGCTGTGTCTGATAAATGATAAACTCCGGAAACCTTCCATGTATTATTGTTACTAACATAAAGTCTAAAATATATTTACAAAAAATACTCTTGTTTCAAAATAAATGATGTTTTTAATTTTTTTATGTAAAATTTATTAACAGTTAATGTTAAATAACCAATAGTATTTTATTACTGGTTGAATTGTGACTAGATAAATGATTAATAATGTTTTTTTAGAAATGTAAGAAATTAAGTGTTTTCTTAATATATGTACACAATACTAAAACAACATCTATTAAAAAAGGGAGGGAATATTGTATTTGTACTTTGAATCACTTATTTGTTAAACAAAATATTAGCTTTCTTTCAAAAAAAAAAGAAGAAGTTAATATGGCATAGAAAATTTTCCCCCAGATGCAACATATATTTAAGCACTATGGTTTATAATTTAGCTCTAATTATAACCGGGAAGAAAATCATCAAAAAATACTCTTAATATTTAAGATCACTATAAATCTCTAAGGCTGATTGGGTGAGAGGATCTATACTATTATTTGCGAAGTAATTTTTTGCAACGGAGCTCTCACGTTGAAAGTTAGAGTGGTTAATATCGTTTATACCCTTAATGAATAAAATATATAAATTAGACATAAAATAAAAACGAAATTGATATTTATTTGATTAGATAAATGATTTAAATTAATAATAATGATAAGAATTATCCATAATCTAAATATATATTTAAAAAGAAAAAAGATAATTCCTATATATATTGTGTTGTTATCCGGAAAATATATTTTAATAAAAAATCAGAAACAGAAAACACATAAATAAATACTCATAAAAAAACTTTTTAATTGTAAATAATTGTTATCCGGAAAATATATTTAATTAAAAAAATTAAAAACACATAAATAAGCATTCATAAAATAAATTTTAAATTTTTATATAATTCAAAAGAGAAAATTGAAAAACATATATTACGAAATTATTACTTGCGAAGTAATTTTTCGAAACGGAACTCTCACGTTAAAAGTTGGAATGATTAATATTGATTATAACCTTAATGAATAAATATATATAAATTAGCCAAAAATAAAAACGAATTTAATACTTATTTGATTAGATAAATGAATAATTTTTTTTAATTTTTATATAATTCAAAAGAGAAAATTGAAAAAAATATAATACGAAATTATTATTTGCGAAGTGATTTTTCGAAACGGAGCTCGCACGTTAAAAGTTGGAGTGGTTAATATCGATTATACCCTTAATGAATAAATATATATAAATTAGCCAAAAATAGAAACGAACTTAATACTTATTTGATTAGATAAATGATTTAATTTATAATAATGATAAGAATTATCCATAATCTAAATATATATTTAAAAGAAAAAGATAATTCTTATATATATTGTGTTTTTATCCGGAAAATATATTTTATTAAAAAAATTCAAAAAATACATAAATAAGTATTCATAAAATAAAATTTTTAATTCTATATAATTCAAAAGAGAAAATTGAAAAAATATAATACGAAATTATTTATTAAAAGAATATAATAATATAATGATATATGTATATATTTGTGAAGTTATTTTTCTGAACTCACACGTTAAATTAAATTTATATTTATATTTTATATAGTTAAACCTTAAACATGAATTAATCATATAAAATAAAATATCATTAAAAAGGAAAGAAAATACGTGTTTGATAAAAATAAATTCAAATATATTGTATTATTATCTAAACTAATATTATTCTTTTTGTAAGATTAATTTTTGAATGTATATTTATCGATTCAATTTTTCAAATGGAAAGATAGATTTCTTTATTTTTTTATCAATTAAGAAGAAATGAAATAAACTTTATATTTTTCAATGTTTTAAAGGAAAAGAATAGTTTTTTTTTTAATTTGTGAATAACTTTATCATGTAGAAAAGTTTAATGTTTTCGGTCAAAATTTTTGGATGCAAATAATTATTTATTATGATGATTTTTAAATTGATTAAAAGATAATTAAGCCCGCATGTGCGGGCAAAACACCTAGACACTAACATTTTAAAAAGAGAACATTATAAGAATACCAAATGTCATGAAAAAAAAGGAAAATCAATTTTTTGCTCTTATTAACCTGGAAGTAGTCAATGATTATGAAAGGACCAATACTAATTTTCAAATGAGAGGTAAAATCCATGGATAAACTATTTTCTGAATATCTAAATAAGACTAGTGTGGGGTTTTTGCGAACATGGATCATTTGGTTCCCAATAATTTGCGTACCACAGCCATCCATGTATAGTTAAGAAAAATCAACTTAGCACAAATACTATGTCCATCCGTATCCCAACAACTCGGAAACCCGTCCTTTTCAATTATAGTATATCCAAAACCCACAATAACAAATGCAAATAATTTGACGATGATAACAACTTTAGCGAATATATTCTGGCATGTAACAATACATGAAAATAAGTAATTAACTCCAAGTGTTTATCTAAAAAACTTGATAAGTATCATCAGTAATTTGAATGCAAAGTTTTGTGCGTGAGAAAAGCTTTCCTCGTCACTCCAGCCGATGGGATATCTATTATATTCATCAGTTATTCAATTAAAAACAAATATCTCCGATTAACACAAAAAAATAAAAAAATATATATATAAGATAGCCAAACAAAATAATCCCAAATAATAATGACTTTTTGGGTTAAATTAGGAAGTTTGGTTCTAGTTGATATGTTGCTTGTGCCAATCGGCTTCTTCGCCAACAATTAGGGCTGCAATTTTTGTATTAGCCAAAAAAATTACTAAAATAAATTGTATTAGCCAAACTTGAGAAAAGAGACTAATTATTTCTCAGCTTAGGCAACGCTTAGCATTTCAAATTTGACTCTTTTCACTATAAAATTGTATATGTTTCGCTACTTCAAAAAGAGTTAAAAGTAAGAAAACAAAGAACATTATGTAACCAAGATAATGTTCATAAGAAGTGGCAACTATTGAGCATCATAACACATTCCTTATACTTCCTTAGTCTTGGCTCCCAGGTGTTGAACGTTGTGATGTAATTGTGCAGCATCAATTATTCTTGCCTTCTTGGTTTATATATATTCCCGTAGTACCCAGATGATTATCCAGCAAAATTAAATTGTCCTAAAAAGTCACCTACCTATCCACATACATTCGAGTTAATCTCCCCTGCTTCTTGCCCATTCCAGTTCCATTCACCATTCATACTTCGAACAAGTTCAGCCCATCCCAGCTCTTATTATGAGCACGTTCATGGTTGTAATAAAATCATATAAAAACCTGCCACCAACCTAATTTTTGAAAAATAATATGTTATTCATCAATTTTTCATATTTTAGTTTTACAAACGAACATAAACTAACTAAAACGACTAGTATAATGTGATTCAACGTTTGGTACCTAGAATCATTTGATAATCACGATCACATATGTTTCTAACTTTGTATGATTTCATTTTCTGTTATTATCCACCCAAATAAAAAATCTTTGTATGAGAATACGAATTTACAGAAAAAGATGCAAACAAAATAAAATTAGAAATTAAAGTCGGCAGATCTGACGGCTACAACAATTTATGACGAGAACCTACTACACTTTATGATGGCCATAAGCTTCAGAGCCCATACTCTATAAATACGTTACCGTGTCTTAAAAGATCAACCACATTGTCTTGTCTTGTCTTGTCTTGTCTTGCAAATTACAAAAAGAAAGGTTACTAGAGATTTTATTTAACAAGACATCACAAAGAAAATCATTAGCCAAGCATCTTCATATCGTCATGATAACAGTAGCTATCGCCGAGGAGTTGCTTGAAGAATACACGTTGGCCCTTGCTCGCATCACCGCCACACTCCTCCCTCAACCACCGACAAGTCGCCGTCGAAGTGTCCGAACTCCCACTAGCGGCGGCCAAGCTGAGTCTCCCTTGCCTCGTAGCGACACCTCATCATCTTGTGCTCCAAATCACACCGCTTTTCTCTTGAATTTCTGAGTTTTTTTTGTTGTATAGACGAAGAGATTTTCGAATGTTCTTCTTCTTGACTCATGTATTGTATGATTATGTTATGAAATTTGAACTTTCTACTTATCTTATGCGTTTATGTTTTTCTTAGTGATAAACTGAAAGCATGTAAATTCTACCGAGAGTTCAAAAAAAAAGTATGTATCATTGACGGTAGATAACTACATAAGTATAAAGATTTATAACGTATTAATCACTTTAGGGATTTTGCATGTTTTTTTTTTTTTTTTTTTTTTTTTTTTTTTTTTTTTTTTTTTTTTTTTTTTTTTTTTTTTGCTAACTCAGTATCCGACCACAAAGCATGATCGACTAGCCCACCGGACCTAAGTCCATGCCATAACAGAATTTTTAAGCGTCTACTTAAGGGCCCCTGGTTACGCTAAGTGGTCCGCATGTTAGTTATGCATGTTAATTGCATGTTTTCAGACAATTATTTTTATTTTATTTTATTTTCCTAGATAATTGATATCAGTTAGCATCATATAATGTGTGCAAATTAAAATTAAATAGTGTGTACGACGTTCAGTGAACTCGTCACGCAAACTCACTATATCAAGTAACGACGACCAAATGAACAAGTGTATTAATTGTATATTTTGGACCTTGTTGAATATTACAATAATATAATTATAACCAATACTCTAAAGCATTTGAGACTTCGGTAAACACTAGGAGGGTGTTATTGGTTTGGGTATTTTAAAGGATTTAGAAATCCATGCCAAATCTCATGTTATTGGTTTTATGATTTTAAAATCTATATTCAAATTCAGTGTTATTCGTTTTATGATTTTAAAATTTATATTCAAATCCAATGTTATTAGTTCTATGATTTTTAAATGAATTTTAAAATCATGTGTTATTCAATAATAAAGATTTGTTCTAAGATTTGATTTAGAATTAGATTTTGGTGGATTTATAAGTATTTTTAAGATCAAAATACAAAGGAACAAATATTGAGTCTAGCCTTGTTATTTTGGTTAGATTTGTATTATTAATTTTTTTCAAGATATAACACAACCCACAATTTGTAAAGCCTAACACCAATCATTAACGCTTTCGTGCGCCTAAGCAACACCATCTTCTCTGCTTTCTCTCAAATAATCGGCCCACACCTGTAGATGAACCTCTCGTACACTAGAGGCAAATAAACGAAGACGTGAAAAGCCTTACGAATTTCGGTACTCACAATCCCGAAGATGAATTCGCTGATGAGCTCGTCCCATCCTCCATTATCCAACATGATAACATCATAAGCGACGTAAGAGATGATTCGTCCGAGGATTTTGGTTCTTACTTATTTGGTTTTTTGAATCTTCAAGCAAGAAATCAAAAGCGGCTTGATGTCGTTAAGAGAAGATGATGAGGAATTTTATGACCAGATTATCATCTACCACTCATAATAAACTCTTGTGTTTTATACTGGACGGGTGTGGAAAGGAGAAAGATCGAGTGGAATCTGAGGATGTCATTGATAGAACATTGGTACAGTTTCGAAAGCTTTAGGTTTAAGAAATTATTGAGGATGCCATTATATGGATTTACAAAAATCTGTTTATTTGATTTTCAAATCCATTTCATATATTTTGAAATCGATTATTAAAGATTTCTAAATCCAATAAATCCATGAATTTATCAAAAAAATTCAAATCCAAAAAAATCATTAAAATACCAGAACCAATAACCCCCACTAGATTATCATAAAATTACATAAAACATGCTTACTTGAAAGTCTTTGAAAATTTTAGATAAGATAAGATTAGATTAGTTATCTTATTTTGGTAAATTAATAATTAGATTATTTGTGCATGCTTAATAGCCTTATATAGAAAGCAGTCCAATGACTAATGGGCTTCAAGTCCATGATCGTACAATCCACATACCATCCAGGCAAGGCAAGTTACAAACCAAGATCATGGATCATCCAGGATTACACAATGACATGAGAATTCAACATGTCATTGCACAGAGATTTAATTCATTTATTATACAGAAAAACTCGAATTCATATTGTAAGGACGTTACTGAAATCACACAACTCATTTTTTTAAGAAAGAGTCGACACATCTATCAGTTTAGCTAGAATACAAATGGTTATTATTATTGCTATCATGTGTCTTAAACAAATAAACATAGAGACGTTTGTATACAATCGAAAATACATGATGCTACATCTTCGAATTCGAGTCGACATAAAGACAGACATGTAGTAACTAGTCGTTTAGAAAGTTCTCAAGACAATGTTCTTGGTCCAGATTCCTACTCCAAAACTTCTTGTAGTACTCCGCGTAAGTATAGTCTCTGTAGATTGGCTTGGCCTCGTCCTCCTTGGCTTCCCACAAGGGCTTTGCCGCGCTTATGACAGCACAGTTAGCAGGACACATAAATGATGCGATCGATAATCTCGGTTTATCAGTGTTTGTTATTGCTCGATGCCAAACACTTTTGTATACTCCGTTACTCAATGCCTGAAATTAAATATGCTAAGCAAGGCTGGTCCAAACGGTTTTAAATATTTTGGTTTATTTTATTAATGAGTGTAGTTACCTGTAACTGGTCACCAATGTTGATGACAAAAGCATCAGGACGAGGATTAACGGCGAACCAGTGACCGTTGATTAAGATCTGGAGACCACAAACGGTAGCATCTTGGAGAAGAATGGTGAGGGCATTTGGGTCGGTATGAGCTGGTAAACCATAGGTGAGCTCAGGCTCAGGGCATGGAGGATAATAGTTGACTGCCATGTGTTGACCTTGTTCACCAAGCACTTTCTTCATGTAATCTTTTTCTAAACCTAAGCTCTCTGATATCAATTCCTCTATTATAAATCCCAGTTCTCTTACTTCTCTACTGTATTTACTCACAACTTCTCTGCAAAAGGACACACACAAAGTTAGCTTACTCAAATCGTTAAGATGATCAGTACATATACACAGTTTTTAACAGGATACATAGATTTAGATAAATCCATGATAGTACATTATTTTGAGTTAACAGTTTTTGTTTGGGTAAAAGCATTTTTCATGCATTGAAACTCAGGATGATTATGTAATTTACCATTGCAATAATAACTATATATTTTTAAGAAATACTCTATCATAGCCCTAATTTTTTATCACAAAATAGCACACAAAAGTCAGGTCAACTATACCCGTACTTTATAGATATATTAAAAGTAAATAAATATTTTTTTTTAAACCAAAATTAGATTTTTGAAAAAAATTCGATTTCTTTTTTGGATTCTTTTCAACATTTTTAATGAAATTTTTTCGGTAAAAAAAGTTTAGGAAGACATTCATAAATATGTACAATATCTTCAGGAATATGAGTTTAGGATAATCTTTCTGATAATTATATATATATATATATATATATATATATTCATAAAATTTAGAAAGCTTAAAAATGTGTATTTAAAATATATTTTAAATTTATATTTAAGAAGACTTTTATGAATATATATTTATGAATACCTTACTGAACTTGAATTATTTTTATATTTAATAAAATATTCTTAAATATGTATAACATCTTCCTAAGTTTTTCAGAAGACTTTCATGATTTTGCTATCTAAATGTTAAATGATATTATAAATATTTTAAAACATCTTCGTAAATTATATTTCTAATAATATTTTTTCTAAATATACATACAAGTTGCATTCAAAAAATATATTTACACATTGTAAAACCACTTCTGAATTTGGATTTTTTGTTACAAATTCGGAAAACATCACACCTGTCTAGAAAGGTCTTCTTAATCCAAAATTTAAGAATATATTATACATATTTAGGAAATATTCCTAAGCTGAAAAAAATTACAATTTTTTCATGTTAAAAATCTTGATTATTCAGAATTTTTATATTTATTAATTAATAATTAATTAATTAAAAATTTAAATGATGATTAAATTGTCATTTAACCTTTCAATAAACATATTTTGATCACTTTAATATTTGAGTGCTATTTGCGAACAAATACTAAAAATGTGATATTTACGAAAACTTTCCTAGTATAATATCAGAAATAATGTCGCAAACTAATTAACCACTAACTAAATTCTTGTCTCAAAATGTTTTGTGTGTGTTGCGTTTAGCTGATTTTTTCAACGTAAACTACTAAACTCGAAACATCCTAAACAAAACTCTCATTTTTCTGTTTACATTTGCAATTATAAAGGTTTAAAAGAGATTAATATGGGTTTTATAATTCCAAAGTAAGAAACGAAAATCAATGGTTTTTATATATAACACAATCGCAGAAAGTTCGTATGAATTGGCCTTCACAGTTTCATGACGTGAAGAAAAGTACATATATCGGTTTGTTTAAGAAAATTAAAATATTGCAAAGTAAAGGAAATATGAATTTTCTATTCCAAACAGGAAGTAGGAAATAGGAATTCCTACTTGTTCATATTTAAATATTTATTTAAATATTGTTATATTTGAAAGTAAACTATACAGTATAGTTTTTATTAGACATGAGACAGATCAGATATCCAAAATATTTTATGATATACGGGTTCGAATTCACCGTATTTGTAAAATTACTATCTAGATTCCAGTTTTCTAGATATCTAAATTAGAATATCCATACTAAAATTAAAATATCTACAAATATCCGAATCAACTTTAAAAAAAAACATATTAAAACTATATTAAAAACCAAATAATTAACTATTTCTTTAGTCTATTTAAAACTATTTTTTTAAATCAAAAAATCTTTGAAATTTAATAGTATTAAAATTTTAATTATTTAATATAAAATTATATATAATATACATATATAAATATAATTGTATTTTAAATATTTTTAAAGTATATAACACCCAGATAGTCAAACTTAAAATTTACTATTCTGATTCGTATTCGGATTTCTGAATCTATAAAATCTCTATCCGGGTCTAGACTATTAGATATCCGTTTTTTTAGCACATCGAAACGAATCCTGAATTGGATACTAGATATAGGATATTAAGTTTGATGCCTACTTTTTGTAAAGGTTCGGAAGTATCTGGACGGATCTTCCTTTCTAAACAGAAATTATTAAAGGTTTTTAGGAGGAGCTGGATCTCGTAATAAAAAACAATAGTGGAGTATGTTGTCAGCTTCGAACCAACCAAAGAAGACTGTGGGAAGAAACAGTATAAAAAGAGAGCATCTATTTTTTCAATAGTCATTGAAATCAAAAACAAGTCCGGATTTTGTATAATTTTTTTTTGTATCAACAGAAGTCCGGCTTTTGGATAAGTTTAAATCAGTATGGAAATTCAACTGAAGATTGGCATGATATCACGACTCTGACATCAACGCGGTTCACGAGTGACGTTTCTTCCCCGTTACCACATAGTATCATATTTTACAAGGCTATGATTGACCAACAACCATTTATATATATTATTAACTGTATTAGTTTGTGTCAAAATTACCTTTTGTATTTACTCCCTATAGGATTCGAATTATGGTAATCTGAAACATTTTTAGATCGAAATTTATCAAATAACTGAGTTTAGTTAGTACATAGGCTTTTTTAAAGAGTTTTTCAAATTCGTGTGGTTTTGCCTTGACCTTTTTCACCATTTTCGAATTTGTTTTTACTTATTTAAGTAGATAATCTCTCTACATATACAGTAGCTATCATAGAGTACAGTACACACACGTTGCTGTTAAAAAATCAGTTGTATTCATGGTTGTAACTTAATAGTCGGCCGAATGAATTCAGACGGTTTTGAAGGATATAAAGTATGGTGACCACTTCTTATTATAACCCCAACAGCCACATGTATGCATAGGTATTGTGCAATGTACACATCTTAGCAATCCATGTGATCACATGGGGAACCAAATCAGGAAAAATAAAATACATGGGACCATAAGTTAAATTATCTTTTACCAATCAACGTTTTTGTATATAACTAGTTCGAAAAAAAAAAAAAACAAAATCAGTTGACTTGACTCGGACGAAGTTCCAATTTTCTTTGTTCAAATCCAAAATCGACTTTTGTGTCTCTAGGAATGAATATACCAAAATTCTCGTTATATATATGGAAAGAAAATAATATTATGGCGATTTAAATAGGGCATATGCTTTTTATTTGATAATGTTATAATACGATATGATATGAGAAAACTGCTCACATTAAGGCTACTTCCTGCTGGAAACTATATAGCTTACTCTAGTTTTGTTTTATTTTGTGTTTTAAGGAATCATTATATAGCTTTGAATATCTAAGGCTCAGCTTATATTCTTTTATTGATAGGCAGAGTATTATATTATTTATAGGGACCAGAGAAAATAAAAAAAGAAATATAATAAGGTGAATGGTAGTCTTAAAATAGTTATGTAAGTCTATTTATAGCCTAAAACGAGCTTCTAAGTCTATTTTTGGCAATTCTGACATCAGAAATCACCAATAAATAAAACCATGGCCATATATCATAAAATCTGACAGACCGTTTTACCTATAAATTTAAAACATGAGAATATTGTTCATATTGTTATTGACTAGTGGACCAAAAATTAATAGAATAGTTAAAAATTGTAGAAGTAATCAAAAAAGTGAGTTAAGTGCTTACTTGAAAGAAGGTGGGTTTAAAGGCCACTCATGGACATACTTGTCGATAGGATAACAATGGAGTCTTAAATAGTCTCTCCAGTTGTTGACCTCTTCTTGCTTCACATTGAAGCTCGTTGATAATCTCATTGTCTTCGATGGATCGTCCGAGTATAGCTTCATTTTTTCCTCCATAGACATGCCAAAGAACTCATGCGCAACACTCACCATATCATGTATTGTTGCTTTACAAACTCCATGATTTACGACCTAGACCCGTATAAAAGATTAGCCGCGAAAAATGCTATTAACTTTAAAGTTCAAATACTTAGCTATATTAGAGTTAATAGTATTTTTTATTTTACATACTTTGGTATATATATTAAATATTTAGTTGGGCTTATATTATACTTAGCTACATTAAATATTTAATTGTGCTTTTGTCCAACGGTTAGTGAATTATTCAAGTTCCAATGAAAATAAATCATGAAGCGCACAAAGCAAACCAATAATGCTAGTGCTCTTTACATTCATATAAAAAAACAAATGCTAGTGCAAAACAAGTTTATTTTTGCTTACTCCTTTTGAATATAAGTAACCAAACATTAATAAAGAAAATACATACCTTTATCAAAACGTGTAAAATATGCGTGTACCTGAAAGAAACCGAACCGGGCGCAAGCTTGGTGGATTTGTTGGACGAGCCGAGGTCGATCTTTGGAAGACATATCGATGAGAGGGAAATCTTCAAGCTGAGAGACGTCGGAGAGACGTGGACGGTCAGAGAGCGGCCGGACATAGTTTTCCGGCAAAGTAGTGTGACGGAATCCTGTGGATATTAGCTTTGAAGCCATATCTGATCGCAGAAATGTAAGAAGTAGTTTACAAAAAAAACAGAAATGTAAGAAGTTGTAAAGGGAAAGAGATAAAGGAGGCTTGACTTTGAGTATGTGCATTGTGTATGTATATAAATAAACTCATGATATTCGGTCCTACTCAGTAAATTAATAAAAGTGGTGACGTTTTTATTTCAATATGTATATTAACATATAATTTTGTGGAGTGTGGTTTAACGGAATAATAAGGGAATTTCGAAAATGATAAATGTTGTTTTTAACCATACAATAATATATGATTGAAATCTATGTGCCTGATATATTTTATTCTGTTATGCTTGCTTTATGAGAATAGTCGTACAACCTTTAAACTGAATTATATTCTACGGAGTAGGTTAACATCTATTAACATTTATGCCACACATTATTATTATTTCTGTTTCTGTTTCGAAAAAGATTAATGTTTTAAAAAAAAATATTTTCATCTTTTCAATACATTATTTAAAGGGTAAATTTTAAATTTCAAAAAAAATAATTGTGATTACTTAAAAAATTATACTGGTTAATAGGTTATGAGAAATAACGAAATACAAAATTGGTGATGCATTAATAATAAAATTTTCTGAAACTTACATCTTTGTTTTTTTTTGTAACTAACTTAAATCTTTGTTTTGTTATAAGAAGCTGTTTATAATTATAACTAGTCAATTATTTTCAAGCAGTACGACGCGAGTATGTTTAAATACCAAGCTGCTCATCTAGTCTTTTTTTTTTTTCAATGAGTCTCTTTATTTACATATGTTAAAAATGGCCAAACTCTTTTAGACCAGAGGAAATAAAGATAAAACAGCAAAACTCTATATCATTGGCGAATTAATTATATATTGACATGGCGTTATTCCAGCGTCATAGCAGTGATGTCATTAATGATTTATTGTCTGAGGCGTGGACATTATTACTACGTACTTTGTATTCCGGAAGAGTTTGAAAAAAATATCGACCATTCTATTTTATGTACCTCTTGAAATTCTTTTGCTAATAACTAGTTTTATGACAAGTGAAGAATTACTAAACTCCATCATTCTGAAATTAACTAAAGGTGTGATAGTCTAGTAAATAGTATATATTTGTTCTCAAATCTCATCTTATCGTGTTTATTATTTACAAATTCTATATGAATACAAATTTACTAGGTGTTTTGCCCGCACTTACGGGAATAATTCTCTTATGAATATTTATTAGTTGATGTTTCATTAATTTAAAAACCATCATAATCTATACTATTATTTTTACTTAATTTAGATTTAAAAATAATTTGTATATCTTAATTTTAAATTTTATAATAGAAAAACATATTTTCAAGATAACAATATAATGCATAAGTTATTTATTTTCTAAAAATATAATATGATAATTTTTTTTAATTATATAATATTATGGAAATTATGACATATAGTTAAAATTACTTAAAATCATGGAGAACTTAATGAATCAGCAAATCCACTTCTTAAATAACTTTTCTTGAGCGATGATTTATATTTAATTAATAATAGATAATTTTCTGTTTTACTTTTAAATTATATAATAAATATATATTTTCAAGAGAACAACATAATACATAAGAATTACCTATTTTATAAAAGTATAATATTATTAGTGTAAACTTATTTAAATTATAGAATTACTATAACTTTTATATCTTAATTCTAATAGAAAAATATAATTTCAAGACATCAACTTAATAAGTAAGAATTATCTTATTTTCTAAGAATTTGATACTATTAATATAAATTTGTTATAATTATATAATAAATAATATGTAAAATTATAGAAATTATGAGAAATTATCAAAATTATCTAAAATCATGGAAAATATGACAAATTAGCAAACATCAAATCCACTTCTTAAATAACAGTCTACATTTTTTAATTGTAAATTTTATAATAGAAAAATATATTTTCAAAATAACAGCATAATGCATAAGAATTAACTTATTTTCTAATATATCATATTATTAATATAAATTAGGCTTAATTATATAATCAATAATAAACAAAATTAGAGAAATTCTGATAAATAATCAAAATTACCTAGTATCATGGAGACAAATCAACAAATTCACTTTTCAAATAATTGTTTTGATGATTTATATTTAATTATTAATAATGTAATTTTATATCTTATTTTTAAGTTTTATAATAGGAAAAATATATTTTCAACATAACAACATAATACATAAGAATTATTTTATTTTAGAAAAATATAAAAAATATAAATAGAAATTCATTTTAGCTAAATAATAAATAAACAATTTTATATCTTAATTTAAAATTTAATATTTATATATAAAAATATATATCAAGGTAACAACATAATTCACAAGAATTATCTTATCTTCTAAAAATATGGTATATTCATATATATTCGTTTTATTTATAAATAAATTATATATAAAGATTAAAAATATGATAAATAAACAAAATTACCTAAAATTATGAAGAACATGACAACTAAGCAAATTTACTTCTTAAATAATATAATAGATTACATTCATTATTGGTATAAATTTTCCCAAAATTTCTGTACTAAAAATATAAATCTTGTCAATAAATTATCAGATAAGATTTGTCGGGGTTTAATGATATTTTATAGTGAAAAACAATAAATCACAATACCAATTCCTATGATGCTATTAAAAACTTATTTTTATTTAAAACACATTTCACCTTTTTAGAATATAATCAAATTATTGAAACAAAAAAATAAAAATGAAATCATTAAGGCTTTTAATATAGATATTTCATAAATGCTGAAATATCAAATTATAGTAATTAAAAATAAATATTATTATAATAAATATTTGAATTTAAAAAAAATTAAGAATTTGAAATTTCTTCATAAAAACCTTAAAAATTAAAAAAAAAATTTCTAAATTTATTCAAATTTTAATTTCTTTTTCTGAAATTACTCAAATCTTAAATTTCTCGAATCATTGATCCAATAAATCTTAAGGAAATTGGTGATACAATTTTTAAAATTATAATTTTCAAAATTTAACTTCTAATATCATTAGAGAGCTAGAGGAGATAATATTCTTCTAAGAAAGATAATGCCTAAAAATAACTATAGAAACTAGAGGAGGGTTGTTTTCAAACTAAAAATAAAAATAAAAGATTCAAATATGTGGGGCTGGGGCAGGCTGTAGGTGGCTTCCAAACGGCGTTTTAATGACTTCATTTTATTTTATTTGCTTCCTAATTTAAACTAATTGTTAACTATATTTTAGAAGTAACCCTTAATTCATTTTAGTATTCATCTTATTATTTACAGATTATGCCACTGAATAAATAAGATTATTTTAAACCAATATTACAATCATTTAATTTAGTTAATCAATACGTGCTGTGATCAAACCATGCCATTTATGGTTTGTTATCACTTAATTCATCATTTATCGAAACAACAGTTTTAAAGTTACATACATAGTCTAACTCAGATTACATCGATCACTGATTGTGCTCATATTATATATCAAATTGGGAAGCTTTCTTTTTTACAAAGAAACTATGAAATTTTGTATATTGTTTCTAGACAGTATAATTGCTTCAGTTCAAAAACTGAGTTTTTGCTGCCTATAATTTTAGATTTGTGTTTCATAGCTACTATTCTTTTCCAAGCATGAATAGACCGTTGCAAGGTTTGTTAAAACTTTTGTAGCATAAATATTAATTAGTATCTTTCTATGATTAAAAGTTCCATAGTTCCAACAATTTAAAAAATCGGTTTATTAATATGTAAAAAATATTTTTTGAATTATTGGAGTATACTATCGTTTTTAAATTGTACACTGAGTAATTAATAATAAATCAGATATCTATCTAGATTAATTATGAAAATCCAAACTTAACAAAACAGATCAAATGAATAAAAAACAATTATCTATCACCCACATATATTCCTGTCTCCTAAAAACTACATTTCTATACTAAATAAATTCAGTCCTTGTTCTTGAATATTCCGTAACTAATAATAAAAACATTCCTACTATTATATGTTATTGAATCCTAAACACCTTAATTATTTCCATTTTATTTAAATAAGTAAACGGATTATAAGCATATAAAAAGGTATATTCTCAGCTATATCAACTAATATACATATGGATATTTAAAATTTAGCATATATATTTTGCATAATTCACTCTATTTTTAACATACCTTCTTTATAAACTTTTATAAATTTTCTTCCCAAATATTTTTTGTTTTAAAAAAAATATTCAAGGTACAGAAATCCCTAAAATTAGTGAAAACAAAACTATCTATTAAAACAAGATCAATTAACTCAATAATATGAAATCACCATGTCCTTATATATACATATAGATCTTTCTCTTTTACTTTCTTTATATCCAAAACCACACAAATAAAAAAAATGGCCACTAACCAAAGTTTTACTCTTCTTAAGGACGTGAAACTATTCAAGATCGGTTGACGAGTACATGTGAAATTACATCACTTGTGGAAACAAAACACAAGTTATGGAGAAGAATCTCTTGAGTGTATTTTTGCAGATGAAACTGTAAGTGTGAGTTTGCTATATATAATTCTATTATTTTTCCCTTTTTAAAAATAATATACCTATATATTGTAAACATACAAAGAATATTAAATGTTTTTTAATAATAAACTTATATGTTGTTTAAATTGTCTATATCTGAAACATTTTTCAAAACCAATCTGTTACAAAACATTTGCAAATAAATGAGTTGGTTATAAATCTAATCTTATCAAAATATTTTCAGAGACATTCATATCATAAACGCTTCATCTAAAAAGATTAAGATAAGTACATTTTGACCTTTATGAAGTCGAAGTTGAATTGACTTAACACATTCCAATCATCAGCTAATAAACCTGGAAATTTTAAATATAGTTTTGACTGACACACAAGTATATTTATACAAAGATCCAATTATTTCTTTTGATCACATAACTGATCCATCTTACACCCAAATGTATACCACAATCCAATATATATATCATAAAATAAACATCCGTATGACCGTACGCATCAAGCTCTAGTATACGACAGAACA